TTTAATTTTCTACAAAAATAATGTGATATATGATAAAAATATTGCGCCAACTAATAAAAATTTATGTTACAAAATTTATTTATTATTATTTCTAATATTAAAAATTGTATCAAATTGCAATGTGATTAAAATAGTGGAACATATTTAAGTGAAAGAAATTTTTTATTAAGAAAACAAATTTCAGTATAAAATAACTTTTTAATTAGAGAAAAACTTGGCGCTGCTAAACTGAACATATGCTAATTAACGTATTATTTACATTTTGAATTTTTGCAGCGCAAAGTTTTTCTCTAATTAAAAAGTTATTTTATACTGAAATTTGTTTTCTTAATAAAAAATTTCTTTCACTTAAATATGTTCCACTATTTTAATCACATTGCAATTTGATACAATTTTTAATATTAGAAATAATAATAAATAAATTTTGTAACATAAATTTTTATTAGTTGGCGCAATATTTTTATCATATATCACATTATTTTTGTAGAAAATTAAAACAACTATTTTGTGAAACAGTTTTTTAGTTTGGATGTGACAGTGTTTTTGTATTAAAATAATTAAAATAACACTATTTTGTATAAGAGTTCTTTTATAGTAAAAGACGCTTATGCGCGTGCACTTGGCGCTTTTTTTCACTTTTTTTTTAAAGGGATCCCAAAGGGTCTGTTTTACCGATAAAAACTTTATTTTGCAAAATCTTTTTTTTGATTATAGATATCAAAAAATCCTTTTCCACAATTAAAGTATACATAATAACGGAGGGCGGAGGTTTACCTTTCATATGAAAAGTGGAAAAAAATGATAAAATTACAGTTTAGTTATCGGCCTGTGCCGTCAACATTTACTTAATATAAAAGATTTGTAATCTGCACGTGCCTAATCAGTAAACTCCGCACTCGGCATTTCATCAAAGAGTATAAGTGAGCTTAGAGAAGTGAGTTTAGAAGCTTTATAAAAAAGATTTTGCAAAATAAAATTTTCGTGCATATGTGTGTGTGCGAGATGGAGGCTCAAGAGTAAAACAGAGCAGTAGATTAGTTGCGTGATGTCGCGATAGATAGAGCTGCAATCGTACATGACAAACACAGACATAATTGTACTATCTTCGTCTCTTTCATGCGTGAGAGAGTAATATACATGTACGCACTAACATTATTGCAGTATCTTTTTTCTCACAATCATACGCTCTGTCTCTTTCTAATCGCTCGTTCGCTATGTACTACGTATCGCTTAGCTTCATGCTCCTCGCATTTTCACTGACGCGTTCAGATTTACGAGTAAGTACAGGAATACGCGTTTCTGCGGTTTACTCGTTCTGTGTCGGCGGCGATGTCTTGGTGACGCCGGGAAGCGGTACGAGTTTCGTAATTGGTTGAACGAGCTCCGAGATTGGTGTCCGGATGGTTACTACGCGTACGACTCCATCGTCTCCGGGGTGAAGCTTGATGATTCGCGCGAGGGGCCATCGGCTTGGTGGTGTGATCTCGGAGCGAAGTAGGCAGAGTGAGCCGACGTCGGGGGTCTCTTCGGGTCCCAGCCACTTAGGTCGTGAGGTGAGTCCGTGTAAGTATTCTTGGGACCATCTTAGCTAAAAATGGTCCCTCATTTTTTGAATCAGTTGCCAGCGTGACATTTGACTCCTTTTGATTTGTTCGTGAGGGTTCCGGTACGGCGAGAAGCGGGGCGCCTATCAAAAAATGTCCAGGTGTCAGTGGGGTGAAGTCGTCTGGATCATCCGAGACTGCGTGGAGTGGTCGGGAATTGAGGCAGGCCTCCACTGAGGAAGGTGCTGAATTCTTCGTACGTCAGAGTGGCTTTTCCCATGACCCGCTTCAGGTGGTGTTTAGTGGACTTCACCGCTGCCTCCCAAAGTCCTCCGAAGTGCGGCGCAGCGGGTGGATTAAAATGCCACCGGACACCGCTGGAGTTGGTGACGTTGGCGATTCGCTGGCCCTCCGAGATTGGTGTCCGGATGGTTACTACGCGTACGACTCCATCGTCTCCGGGGTGAAGCTTGATGATTCGCGCGAGGGGCCATCGGCTTGGTGGTGTGATCTCGGAGCGAAGTAGGCAGAGTGAGCCGACGTCGGGGGTCTCTTCGGGTCCCAGCCACTTAGGTCGTGAGGTGAGTCCGTGTAAGTATTCTTGGGACCATCTTAGCTAAAAATGGTCCCTCATTTTTTGAATCAGTTGCCAGCGTGACATTTGACTCCTTTTGATTTGTTCGTGAGGGTTCCGGTACGGCGAGAAGCGGGGCGCCTATCAAAAAATGTCCAGGTGTCAGTGGGGTGAAGTCGTCTGGATCATCCGAGACTGCGTGGAGTGGTCGGGAATTGAGGCAGGCCTCCACCTGAGTGAGGAAGGTGCTGAATTCTTTGTACGTCAGAGTGGCTTCTCCGATGACCCGCGTCAGGTGGTGCTTAGTGGACTTCACCGCTGCCTCCCAAAGTCCTCCAAAGTGCGGCGCAGCGGGTGGATTAAAATGCCATCGGACACCGCTGGCGTTGGTGACGTTGGCGATTCGCTGGCCGTCGGGCGATGAAGCTCGGAAGAG